ACAAAACAGATGGACTACTGATACGTCATTTAGTTGAGTCACACTGACGTTGTGTTTTCTGTGGCAGTAGAACAAAGGCCGAATGAGTGCTGTTCTTTCGTTCTCCCGAGCTCATGAATTGAATACCTGGAAATCTCCTTGTGGGTGTTGGAGTGATGGTCAGGAACACTTCAACCAATGCAAAGTGTGGAAACGAGGCTTTGGTTTTTATTTTCTCGTTTATACATGAAGGTTACACGAGCACCGCGAACGATCCTCTGTATGAAATTAAAAGATGAGCTGATGCTATCACTGGATACATTAATAGAAATGGTTTCTTTCTAATTATTAAGTTTTTTTTGTGTTTAATTTGTTTCTTGATCAACCAACTTCCTAATTGTTTCTAATGACTGTGATCTAACAATTATTAACTTTAAAGGTGCTTTTCTTTGCCAGACCTTACCTGTACTCACTAAATTACTTCATATATTTGTGTGCAGGTTCCTCATGGGAGAAATCCATAAGACAAATTGGCTTTGAAAGGTAAGATAAGATTGAAACTAATAATGAGTTATAAATAATAATGATGCTATAGGGTGTTATATTTTAAATCTCCTGAGACCCCCATGTCCACATTGGTCATCAGGCTATGGATTTCCTACAGCTTATACTTTTCTTTTAAACAATACTCTTTGAAAAATAACTTTCTTCTCAAAGATGATTTTGGATTAAAGATCCCTCTCAAATAAAGGCTTGTGTCTCTGCAGTAGGGATGGGAATTGAGAATTCCTTTGAATTTGTTTTTTATCCTGCTTGTCTGTTGATTCCACTCATCGGTTCTTCCTGCACTTGTGCTACAAAATGATTTCAGTTCATGTGCTGAAGGTGGAAAACAGTGGCACAGTCTACAGAGTGGATATGGATACTTTATTTATATTTTATAGCACAAAAACACGAGTGAGCGAGAGCGAAAATCAAAATTAATGTAAAGAGTAGAGTAACAAATTACTTTCTCTGGGAGTAATTAAGTAGCGCACTGCATGACTTTTAAGAAAAGTGTTCTGTGTTATATGTGTAATAATTACGGAATTACTTACTAAAATTATTTATGTAGCAAATAAAAAATAACAATGAAAAGAGAAACAAGACAAAACCAAAGTGCTGTACACGTTATGTGGCCGACAAAATTAAAAATATTTATGAAAAAGTCAGGATAACAGAATGCGAATGTATGATTAGTTAGTTTGGACACTGTTACATGCAGGGACGTAAAGCAGGGACACAGACATTGAGCATTTTGTCCAAGTGCCAACCTGACCCAAATGCACTGCTTTTTAGAGAAATAAAACACCTTAGAGTCGAGTCTGAGCAGGGAATCAAGCAGTCTGCACCAACTAAAGATGAGACACTATGGACTGAGCGGTCTGCAGACACAGTGTGTGCAGTCAAAACTTAAAAAAAATTAGGTGAAATAAGATTTTTTAAAATGTAGAATTTAGAAAATAAACTATTGTATAATGTGATAAACTAAATAACAAAATATACTTTATAAAATAACTATACAAAAAAAAGGGGTCACCTGAAAATCATTAAAACAAACTAAAACGAAATATTTCTACGAAATGAAAACAAAATCAAAATAAACAAATTCAGTTTTGAAATTGATGATAACACATAAATAGTACAACTGTGGTTGCAACAATAATGCAGTTTTCAGGAGATATCTTTAAAAATAAATTATTTTAAAATTCACATTTTCGTTTCACCTTTTTGTATCACCGCTCTGTTTGCAGGAGGTGGCACCGACTGTGCAAAGTGTCTTAAATCTAGCAGCCCCACAATAACATTAAACATCACTTATTACTGTAGCTGCAATGGCTCGTCATGTGCCCAGCTTCATAAAAGCTCCAAACCTGTCCCTGTGTGGATTCCTGTTGAACGCTAAACCCACTTATGTTTGACAGTGGGTTGACGGGCCTATTTTTCAAAGCTTTTGCTGTTGTGTCTGCCTCCCCCCCACACACACACATGATCATATTAGATGTGGTTTCCTGAGTACGGGAATGTCCTAACTCAGCCACGTCCTTTTTTCCAGTACTCAACATCCTTCATACTGTAAGTGGCGGAAGTAGAGCCATAAACATTTCATCCCATATGCATTTACCTGTTTGTGTCGAGGGTCACATACAGTATATGAACAGTGATTACAGTTGGCTTTGGTGCATTTTAATGCCTAAATGGACCTGAGCTCAGATGTATCCAAGCCTGAAAACGATTCACAGCTGTTGTGTGACTTTTTCAGTCATGCTGAGTGTTCAGTTTACTCTGACCTTTGCAGTTCCTTCATAAATACCAAATATTTATATACAGGGCATATTTTATTTTGTCTATATTTGAAGTTTTTCACTGAGGTGGCGTGACTAATTCCAGCTGTAGCTTGGACCAGTGAGGACAGGTCCGAACGCTACTGATGTTTTTGTGATTCCCTCATACGATAACTATGGGAAAAGTGGGAGTCGCTGAAGTTACTGGCTCAGCCCCGTTTGGCTCTGATGGTTTCCATCTCTTTCATCCGTGTGAGGATGCGCGAAGCTTCACAACAATGAAGCAAATGGAAACAGGCGTCCTTGAGCAGATTAAACTCCACAACAGAAGCCAGAGGGGCATCTATTTATCGGTGTGTGCGTTTTTCCATCAAGATGATTAGCACTCTGGTTTCAACTTGTTAACTTTTATAAGCTTTATATAAGCTCAAGACCAGAATCCAGAATGACACTGGCTGTTTTTTTCTTCTTCTTTTTTTTTTTTACAAGTATTTGGTCTGCTTTTTCTCTGCAGCCTGAGCCGCAGAATCACCAGTATGGTGTGTTTATTGTAAACTGTTTAATTACTCTTGGAGCCCAGCATGAAATGTAAAGAAAACACTTTAGTGGCCAAACACAGGATGGAGCGCTATTGCTGTAAAACCAAAATAGAAATTGGTTTGGATGATAAAAGAGAGTTTTAAAGCTTTTGAAACCTGTTAGCCATTTCAGGGACAATTTTTATTTGATTTAATAGAACATGCAATCATGACACCTCATAAAGTGCGTCCTCTCGCAGCTTAAATGCATCTCTCTGGATTATTTGAAGTCTGAGATTACTGCAGCAGTCATGGCAACTGTCCGCCACCAGTGTTTAGCTTCCTGTTTGAACAAACCTTTTTGTATTTAATTAGACGTGAGCGGACTAATCAAATAACAAATGTTGCAAAGGCGGTGTTTGTTCACGGCGCTATAACTACAAGTTTAAACAGCGTCATGTTTTAATATATCAGTAATAAAAAAAACCCGAGCTGTCTTCATGTAAATATGATTTGTTTATTAAGTGTTGTCAAGAGAATTCAGACAGATGTACAAACATCTCAAAATGATCCCTTTTTTAAAGTCCTAACTTTTCTTACTCCATGCAGATGAAAGAGAAAAGAAATGGGGCTAATTACGCCAGCTGCCTCCGTATGAACAAAGGATGCAGTTTTTAGGGAAGTAAACATGTTTTTCACAGTTTAGTTAAAAACAGAAAATAACGCTCTCGCTCTCTCATGGCCTTTTTGTTTGAATGGAATTTAACTCGTTAACAGCAATACGTTTAAAGCCCGATTTCATTAAAGAGGGTGGTACTGCATATAAAATCTGAGCACAACACATATTAAAAGAACAGTTGAGTAAGGGAAAAATACAGATTCCCATGCGTTCATGTGAACAGGTGGTGTTTTGCTTCAGTAATACCTGTTCTCGTGATTCTCAGTGCAGCTCCTCTCGGCCTGAAATGGTTTAGAATGAATTAATAACTTTTCTTTATTTTAGTTTTAAAAAGTCAGAGATACAGAGGGACATGTGACGAGGAACTCAGCCAGGTTCAAACACAGGGCAGCACCTGTTTATGGGCCAAAGTAAACTAAACAAGCAACCAGGAGTCCCTGGATTTCTCAGAAAAACTGCTTCATATTAGACCTCATTGTCCACGGGCAGTTAAGCCTGTTTTGTCTTGTCCCAATTTCCATCCTTTGGTTGTGTTATTGGCCTGCAAGATTGCTCCAAATCACGATTTTTGGGATTCATCTGCACTTTGAGGAACCAAGCGTCTGCTTTCTGTCAGCGTCTGTGTCCCATCTTTTGTCTGTTTGTCCCCAGCGTGAGAGGTGCAGATGCGGGGAATGGCATCCGAGTGTTCATCCCCGATATCGGCATGTTTATGGTCGGCTTGGGCATCTGGCTGCTGTGTCGCAGTCTGGTCCAGAAGAGGCCGCCTGAGGACATGGCACAGTACAATGAAGACTTCCAATCAGAGGAACAGGTAGGTTTCATTTGAGCTGAAATGAAGTCCGTCTGTGTGGATGGTTTGAAAAGTTCTTTTAATTTTGTTGTTGTTCATTGTAATATTTTCTTACTCCATGAAAACTCCACACAATTAAGATATTCACGGTGGGTGGAAAAACAAAGTATTAGATACAAAGTATTGGTCGGTTTCACGCAGCACGAGAATCAAGAGAAGAGAAAGGAATGGAGAGCAGTCTACTAAATAAATACTAAATGTTTGAAATAGAAAGTGAAGGGAGGTGTGGGCTAAAGTGTGGATTTCATAAAAAAACAATAAATTATTTAGGAAGCTGAGTACAAGCAGATTTCTGTGCCTAAAACAAAGAATAAAAGTGTCTTGAAGAGAATAATGTCTCAGTCTAGTCGGAGGAACTTTCAGTTGGCCGTGAACTCCTATGTAAACAATTTCACACAAACTGATTACAGACTTCAGCGCTGAGGAAAGAAAAAGTTGTTCATTGTACGCTGTCAAAATTATTCCTATAAGTATATGAAAGGAGACTAAAAAGTTCACAAATCTGTTCATTATAAATACAAAAACCTGAGCTTGTTTAAATTGCACAGCTACTGGCATCCCCTTTCTGAAAACCTGTGTGCGCATTCGTGATTTCACCACGGACCTCCAACTCATACAGAGAGCAAATCTCAAATTCAAAGTGACCTGACATTTATGTTGAGAAACATAGCTGCATCTTTTCTAGACCTTAAAAAAAGAACCACATTTAACACAAAATAATAATAAAATATTTGTGTTTTTAATGACCGTCTAAACTAAATTCACCTTGTTACAAACAATCACTTCAGTTCAGTTTTATTTATATGGCACCAAATTAAAATGATAGTTCCTCGAAGGCGCTAAAATAGCCTCTTGTATAGGGCTCTTCAAGTCCTAACCTGAGCTCTATAAGCTGTAAGCAGCAGAACTCAAGTAAACTTCCCCGTGAGCGTTGGTGACTTGGACAACATCCCTCGTCTCCTGGCAAGTCCTCCCTTCTCTTTATGACTTGTGTTAATTAAATCCACATTCACTTTCACTTCCACTGTGCTGCTCTGGTTGACACATGGCCGCTTTATTACTGAGAAACACCAGAATTAATCTACAGCGCCTGTATTGCGTTCTGTTATAACAGGATTTTCCGCCTGCTTCTTTCTTTGCCTAGCACTTTATGTGTTGAAGTGAGTGGCCTGCTTGCTATGATGTTTCTCTTTTACAGAGTCTTAGGGAAGTCAGGGACACATAATTGCTTAGATTCAGCAGCCAAGGAAGAGCTGACTGGATTAGATGTCAAGCCAACATGTAGTTCCAGAGGAAAACATCTGCTAAGGCTTTCAAGCAGCTACACAGGCCACATATATGCTCTGATATGTTGTGTTACATGCTAACCGTGCTGAAAGACCCTCGCAGGAACACACGTGACACACTTTACTTTTTTAGTATTAGTAGAGGTTACCTGTAAGAAATAGTTTTCAGCACCATGGAGAGCTCTGACCTCCGAGCTGCACCCGTATGTGCACCTTAAACGTGTCGCTGTTATCTCCTCCCAAGGAGGAAGACGAGAAGCTAAGCCTGGAGGACAACATCCTGTTGGAGGAAGACTATGAAGCAGGGTACGAGGCTGAGGAGGACGAGGAAGATGATGTGCTGGAGGATGAAGAGGAGGAGGAAGAGGAGGAGGAAGAGGAAGCAAAAGAGAGCACAAAGATGAAGATTCTGCGGATGGTGGCAGAAGTTGCTTCCAAAGTGAAGGAGATCATCGGGAATTTGATAACCACTGCAGGAAAAGTGGTGATCACCATCTTGTTGTGTATAACAGGTGAGGAAATCTTTTCTGTTTGTGGGGCAAATAAATAGTTTCAGATTATCATGAAACATACAGACTGTTTGCTTATGTGTTCAAGTTGGGCACCTTACATTCACTTAAATGATGTTTGCTTTACAATTCCACCAGTCTTTTTTGCTCCTCCAGCTAAGAGCAGCCGAGGTTTTTGAACACTTTTGAGTTTAAAACATTTTTCTGTTTAAACTTGTCTCAGTGGCTTTTAATCAGGGCTGCTTTATAGACATTTAAATGGGGGGATTAGTCTGATGTTTTTAATGATTTTGACTGTAAACACCAGTCTTTTTTGTGGAGGAGATGCAGTTCCCAAGCTGTGAAGAAACATGTATGAGATATATGAGAGGGAGTCAATTTGTTTCTATAATTAGCACAAGATCTCCCAGCGCATATACTCTGATTTAATCTTAAGTAGTTATGTTTACAGTGATTGAGGATTGCCAGGAAAGGGGGAGGGGGTTCTTAATCTGTCCTAATATACTGAAAACAGATTTTCAGTGATGATTTATAATTTTTTTTTTATTCTGTTGAAGTATGAGGGGTAGGTGCTGAAAAATATCTTCATGAGAAAGAAAGAAAGAAAGAAAGAAAGAAAGAAAGAAAGAAAGAAATGGCCTACTTCCAGTCATCCTATTAGCAACGTGTATTTAGCGTGAGTCTGCTGGCTTTAATTTCAGACCGGTGCTCATAAAACCTGTTTTTCCACAGTTTCCCACGTGTTGTTGAACTCACCTTGAATAAAGTGTTTTCAAAACAGTAACTACATAGCTATGACGTTGTGATAATGAAAACAAGTGTGATGCAAGGAAATTCAATTCAATTCAATTTTATTTATATAGCGCCAAATCACAACAAAAGTCACCTCAAGGCGCTTCAATTTAGAGGAATTTAGATTTAAAATCTCATAATCCCTGCAAAAACAAGGCAGCAAAACCCCTCACCTTCATTCAAGACTTTAGAGAAAAGAAAACACTGAATAAATGATTCATTAATTCTCATATAAAAAAAATATTGCTACTCCAGACCACTGTAACTACTGCTCAGTCATGCCTAATTTAAAATCACTAGTTAACCTGACATACATGTCTCTGGACTGTGAGAGGAAGTTGGAGGAAGCCCACACGTGTACAGGGAAAATATCCAAACTCCACACACAAAGGCCGCAGCTGAGGTTCAAACCAAGAACCTTCTTGCCAACAATGCTACCACTGCACTGGACTTTATCGCTATTCAGATTTATCTGGTGACAGTATATAATATAAAGTGTATTTGAACTGTAGTTTGACGGCCAAGACGTAAAACTGCATGAATAACTATGTTAAACCATATTTGGAATTATTTCTCAGTCATTATTTAACAGCATTAACGATGTGAAAGTTTTGCCACATTCAACATATTAAAACATTAAAAAATTACGGGAACGCAATCTGAGGCTCCATGTGGGTTAAAAAAAAGGCTTGTATTTATATACCACTCTGGCAGATGTCTGACTGGTTTTTACTGGTTTTATGTTTGCAGGAATCACGCTGCCCTCGTTGACCTCAGCTGTTTACTTCTTCACCTTCCTCTTCCTGTGCACCTGGTGGTCCCTGCGCCGGACCTTGAGCACGCTGATGTTCAGCTGCATGTGTGTTCTGATGGCCATCTTCAGCGCCGGACATCTGATCGTCCTCTACCTCTACCAGTTCCAGTTCTTTCAGGAGTCCGTCTTGACCAATGACGGCTACATCAGGTCAGAAATGTGGAGCTCAGAATTCAGACATTATACTGCTTTAAATTTTTGGCTTCACATCAGACAAACAAGACTTTATATTATTATTGTTTTATTATTTTCCACAATTTAACTCTGTTGGGCAAAACGGATCACTGATCATTACAAATAATATGCTGACTCTATGTTGTTTGTATTTGTCATTCTCAAAAAATCAACAAAAACCAACAGGCTTTAAAAACTTTTAAAAAAGTCTTTTTTTATTCTCAGATAGGTTAGCGAAAGCAGAGTAATCAGACCTCAGAGGGTTAAACTTGGTCGGTGCACTTGACTTTCACTCGGCACACAAAAGGAAAGGAAACCAACTCAGGAACAAACACAAACTGTTGTCCCAACAACACACAGTGAAAGTTAAACTGTGGCATTACAATTTGTCTCTCTCCTGTCATTTTGATGAATTGCTGAAATGTATTTCGGTAGTTAAACATCACAATCTGATACTAACGCTCTTTTATCATGTGAATATAAATGACGTGTTGACAGGGCTCAGGAGCCAGAGCTCCTTCGACTCAACGAGATTTATTGCGCCCGAGGCAAGTTTGTTTAAACAACAAATATTTACTGTTGTTACAACCTAGAAAGCAATGAAAAGAAAAACTTAGCTGGAGGGTAGATTCATCAGACTCCTACTCATAGCACATCAGTGTCAAATGCAGAGCTTTTAAGCTCTTCACTACGACCAGTGCTGTTTTATTATGCATGAAAAAGGAGGCAATCAGCTGTCTGTGGCTGCTGCGGTGAAGCGCTGTGGTTGGACTAAAGCCACACTGTTGAACGTCGTGCCAATATATGTTAGTCACAGTTGTTCAGTGAGCTGACTTTGTAGCAGGCAGTCTGTCAGCTCATTGTTTCTATTCTGACAGCTTGGGATGAGAATGATGCTGTTTATTTAATAACCGTGAAAACAAATGTACACTTTTAAAATATCTGCTAGAATTCTCTCTAAACATGTCCTCTATTGACTTCTGTTATTAATTTGACTTTGTTTTGTTCACTGGTGTTAATCAGTCATCTGATTTTAATTGTTTAATTTGGCTAACGAGGACATTCCCTGCTTTTGTTCACTTATCACGGACATTGGAGTTGGGGGTGAAGTTAGGCTCACGGTGGAGGAGTTTATGTATCTCTGGATCTTGTTCATGAGTTGGGGAAGAACGGAGAAAGAAAGATTGACAGATGAACCGGTGCAGATGCTGAACCAATCAATCTGAGATGGTTGAGCCATCTGATTAGGATGCATCCTGGATACCTCCTCAGTGAGATGTTTTGGACATGTACAACTGGGAGGAGGCCCCTGGGCAGATCCGGGACATGTGGGAGAGATAATCTTTCTCAGATGGCTTTGAAATACACCAACATCCTCTCAGAAGAGCTGGAGGAGGTGACTGCGCCTTAGAATGCTAACTGGACCTCGAGAAGCGAGGGTGGATGGATGAATGGATGCCAATTTCATTTTAGTGGAGTAGTGCAGCTCAAAAAAAAAACTGGAATATCAACAAAAAGTGAATGATTTCACAGTTTGATTTACAAGCTTTCATATTTAATACACATGAAGAGAAATATTTCAAACTAATCTTTGGTTTAATTTTGATGAATGATGATTAGAGAATTATGTCCAACATTAATTTTGTATTAAAGATAAAAAATTGGAGTCCAGCAGCCACAGTAAAGGTAATTTATCACAGTAAACTAAAACAAAAAAAAATGCAAATGTGATGCTTAAATTCACTAGTAACTCAGAAAGATCAATTAAAAAATGGCTTTGAATGTAAAGTAGAAAAGCTCTCTAAAGTTGATGTACGCCCACTGCTGCACAGCAGGTCCTTTAACTTATAGTAATGATGCGGTGTCTTCCAGATCTTCCCAGTAGCACTGCAGCTGTCTCTGTGTAGCTGGTATCTCAGTGCCCTTGGTGTTGCAGTGTTTTATTGATCTCAGACTTTCTCATTTGAAAGCTGTGCTGCTGTTACAGCTATGTATAGCTGAAACTGCCTTGATAAAGCCCGTGTCCTCTCCGTCCCGCTCCGGCCTCAAATGGCAGATAAGGAAGCGATTACAGTGTCCCACTGACAGGTTTTTCATTAGGAAACAAAGTCATTAGAATGAATGAACCGCTCACACCATCTACACAGGGTAATCTCTTTAAATCGTCCAGCTTTAGTGACTGCGCAGTCTGAGTGTGTGATAAATTTGAGGGGTCATCACGTCACTCTAGTATGCTTTCGTTTACCTTTACTTCTTAGGTTTTCTAAAAATCCTCAAATTTAAGAGAATAATTGTTGTTATTGGTCCCCTGAAATACTTAATTAAATGCCAGATATTGGAAAGTAAAATACTCAAAGGTGAGTGTAGGCTCTCGCCTCCAGAAATCTTTTAAATGAGACATAAAAGGAAAAGAATCACTGCCGTTAACGCGTCACTGAGGAAGTAAAGTTGTGAAGGCCAAAATTAGACACACATGTTAAGGGTGATTGGCATAAAACTGTTGAGAACTCGATGCCCTGTGTACAAAGCATAAAAAAAGCACTCTTTACTTTTTAAATCCCCTATTTTATATTTAGTTAGTGTTTTATGGGGGGAGGGTTCCCAAACTGTGGTCTTCTCATTTCGGAAATAAAGAAGGCCCTAATTTGTCTGTCTGAGGGCCAGCATTTGGAAAGGTTGTCACTGTTCCGATTCTTATTTCACAAACAGACTGTCTGTTTCATCATTTGCCGTCTACTCACACGTTCATGTTGACTTTCCACATCACTGAAGTATTTCTGTCTGCTGCTGTGTAAAAACTGAGGCATGATCTCCTCTGCTCTGGCCTGTTTAGTTCGCACTTCAGGTCGTCACAGGGAAACTATTGGCCCATATATACGTGTAGCCTCGATTTGACAATAGGCCACCTCGGTGCCTGTCCTAATTGTCCCTGCTGACAATGACTCGGCCTTGCTGTGGACCTGGTGCTGAGTGAGACTGTTGAGAGTCCTGGCTTCCACTTCACTTCCTGCCTCACCGCCTTAAAGTGGAAGTCCCCTGTCATGTGACTAACCGGCCTTCCCCAGCTGTAACAAGAAACTGTTCAGGAAATGTGCCGGGTTCTGGGGGTCGTTCGCTCCTCGACATGGCATGAAAGACAAGACTCTGGAGGCTTCTAAATCTGAGTGTTTGTCACTGGAATATGTCAGTGCAGTTCCTGAGTAGATGACCTTTATTCTGCTCAGAAGGAAAAGGAGTGAAACATATGACATCTTTTGTTTTATGAACACATTTTTAGCCTGGCTGCATTGTACAGAATCCAGGGTTAGAGAGCTTCTTGCCAAAATGACCACTAGAAGAGAGTTGCTACCAAAATCAGAAAGTATATTTAGTTTTTTAAAGTTCATTACAGAAGTCGACTGGAAGAAACTGTAACACTGGTTTTTATTAAAGTGGATTTATGATGATGATACTGTGGCCACTTCATCCACTGTCAGAAACAAACTGCTTTAACTCCTCTCCCTTAATCCCACTTTCTTCTGATTGGCTGCTTTTCATCAAAACGTTTGGACAGCGTGTGCGTTTGGCTTGCGTGCTCATAGCGAAACCTGTATACTTGAAGTGAGGAGCAATATTTGCCCTCCGTGAGATCATCATAAGCTAGTTTGATCATCATTGTTTATGTAGTGTCAAATCACAAACAAAAATTGCATAAACCATAAATAACTTGCAGTGTTATAGAAACTCCAACAATCCAGAAATCCCCTGTGAGCAACTTAAAGTGACTGTGAGGAGAGAAAAAACAACAGGCAGCAACAGGCTCAGGAAGGGAGCCCTCTGCCGCAGCAAGTTGGGGGTTGAGGGGAAACAGATGACAGAAAAGGTGATGAACAGGATCAGGATGATCAACAAACAGGATAAATCACTACCTATGGGAGAGCTTGGACGCAGGTTAATAACAAGCAGTAGAGGGAAATAAATGCACTGAGAGTCACAGAGAGAAAGAGAGCATAGAGGAGAAGAGCTCAGTGCATCATTTTACAAGTCCCCCAGCAGCATCAGCCTATGGTAGCACAATAAGGGCTGTTTCAGGGTCAACTGATCCAGCTCTAAGAACAAGCTTTCAAGTTTTTAGCTTGCGTCTGTCTCCCTGACTCAAACTGAGAGCAGTTTTGACAGTAGTCAGACATAGATGAAGGCCCTGCCATAAGTAAGCCTGCACAGAGCGAAATGCTCTGCTGCGATCACATGGCACCATTTATTTTAAATTTCTTTCTGTACTGCCATTCTCCATAATTACCAAGCCTCCAATTAGATTTACCCTAAATACTGTTCCTTTAAATCATTAAACTCTCAACACTGAACTGAACTGGATTTACTCGGAGCATCTGAGCAAAACAGTCCAGACATCCGTCTCCCCAGCAACACGTTCCCACACCTTGCGGGAAATCTCCAGGTGAAGCCAGATGAGTTACATAGTCTCTCTCATGTGTTCTGTGCAGTCATCAGAAGATTTACTCTCCAGGATACGACTAAAGGAAGCCAGTAAACTCTGTTTGATTTAAATTTGTTTAGTAAAATGTTTCTTTTCATGTATAAACTAAAGAAATTTACAAAGTAAAACATTAGGAGACAAAAAAGCGTTATAAAATCTTATTTGTCTGCTGTTTTTACTGCTTAAAAACCTTTTTTCCATCCTCATAGACCTTTCTGTCTCTTCTCAGTGTGTTTGGCATCTCCCCCATTGTCCAGAGCAACTGCTCCTGCACGTGGAAGCTCACTGTGCACCCGCGGCGTAAGTGGTACCACTTTGTCAGTCCCATCATGCTGCTGATCCTCTATTACACCCTGGCTACTCTCATCCGCCTCTGGCTGCAGGAGCCCATCGACCAGCTGATGGTGAGGACAGAGAGAGCGCACACACGCCTTTTTTTTTAGTCAAAACGTTGTGACATGTTTTGTAAAGCACATCAATAATTTATTGATTTTCATTTATATCGGGTGTTTTTGATTTGAAGGCAGCTCCACAGTTGTATTTAGGATCTGGCTAAATTTAGATGTTATGGGTCAGATTTAGTAACAGTCTCCATCAGTCTTCTGTTCTTGAAACTGTACTGCAGGATTTACTAAATCACACTGTTTGTATGACATGTACATTTGTATGAGTTTAATATAATAATCCAAATCTCCAAGACAGCATATCTGCTGTTACAGACAGAGCTGAGTTTAGGTTTTAGTCACGTTCATATACAGAGATTCATCCATGAAAAAAACTTTCAGGGAACATAGAAGCTGCTGCATGTCTTTTCTCAAGACTGTGCACACACAGAACTCTGCAACATCACAATTCAGCTTTCACAGAGTTTGATCCTTTTCCTGTTTCTGTAGCGTTGGATCTGTTAAATAAATATTTCAAACAGCTTTTAATGGAACTCGGACAGATGTTCAGTTTTGAATATTAGCTTTGCAGAACAATATGAGCTACCTGTGCGTTTACTCACTTGTACAGTAACAGTAACTTCATTAGCACGTGTTTGGGGCAGAATTTGGCGATCAATAATAAACAGATTTTAGGTTTATATGGCAGGGTGTTTGTGATAAAGCTGCCCCTCTCTGAGTAAACCCTACATCAAATCCTACTACCTGCAGATTGATTTCTTTCGGCTACATCTCATTGATCTGGGTTTAAGGAGACACGTGTGTCAAAGAGATCCTCATACTGAGATTTTTTTAGTTAATAGATGACTCACTCCCTGTTTTGGTATGCTCACTTTTGACCTGCTAATTTGGGTTAGCTTGTTGCTGTTGCTCTGCAATACTTGAATTAAACTGGTGGACAATATCGACTGATATCAAAAATGGGGGGGAAAAAATCATTATTTCACCAAAAAGCCATCATCAGTGTGATTTTATGTGAAATAACAATCACAGTACATGAAAGTTAGATGAGATTTCTGTACTAATCAAATAAAAGAGCCAAAAATTACTTTTTCAAGAATTGTATCATCACATTACCACTATACACAAATACACATGGGATATGGAAGGGTCAGTGTTAAAACTTGAACAGGAACTTTCCTTAATGTTTAAAGGGGCACTGTGGGTTCTTTCTTCTGTTACCTCTGTGTCTGGAAATCACAATTTTTTTAAATTACTTTTTCCCTACTAGCTCACAAGGCCATTTCAACAACTGGAACACAAATTTGGTTCTACAAGAAAATTTGTTTTTAATTTCTCATTTTTGACAAGAGAAAAATTACACATTTGGGCTTTACATTGTGACACTTTAAATTTTTTATTTTTTTTTTTGCTTTATCAGAGCGTAAATGTGTTTTTCAAGCTCCCTGACAATTTCGACTGACTACTTCCTGTATTTGAAGTTATGAGGGATAAACTATAAAAAAAAAACCTAAAAAGAACCCAATTTCCAACCACCCCAGTTTGAAAGCCGGTGACAGTTATTAAGTATAATGTTGCATGGATTAGGTTAATTTGCAAAAGATTTGGTTCTCAGGGATTCAGCAATGAACTTTTCTCAGATTTGACTGCTTTTGAGTGAAATACTGTCATGATCCTGGGCCATGTTGGCCCAGCATTCTTAGTTTCATGTATTTTTGTATTTTGTTCCTTATTTGACTTCCCCTTGTGACTTTTACCCCCTGTGTGTCCCTCTGTGCATCTGTGAGCCCTCGTTTCCCCTCGTGTTTTATTCCATGTTTTCCCCAGCCCGTTATGTCTGTGCTCTCCCCGTGCTCCCTCTCTCCTCCTGTCTGCGCCTCTGTGTACTTCCTGTTTTACTTTGACAGTCTCCCGTCAGTATGCGTCATGTTGTGTTGCTCCCGTGTGCTCCCACCTCCCTCGTTAAACCTCTGTGTATTTATGTCCGTGTCTCCCTCTGTGCAGTGTCGCATTCTCCCTCATTCATGGCCGTGTGTTTCTCTGTGTGCTAGTGTGTTGCTTCCCAGTGTAGTTTCTTATCAGTTTGTTTCGCCGTTTCCCTCCAGCAATAAAGCTGTGTTTTGAGTTCATTCCTGTTCTGTGAGCTTGCGTTTGGGTCCACTTCCTGCCTGCCACACAGCCGAATCATGACAAATACACTGGGTTACAGACACCAGCTTTTCAATAGAAAAGTTACTTTTTTTAAAAAACGCCTGATGACATTTAGCTACGACTGCCTGATTTCACTCTATCCAATCAATCCAATATCACGCAAAGCTTGTAGTCAACTCACTTCATACAATTCTTGACTTCTTCAACTTCACACAAACTCAAAAATCTGTGACTATTAACACAAAGTTAGACCTAATAAATTATATCTAACTGAACAATAACAGTGTAGAGAAGAAACCTTGGTGGACAAACAGCATGTGCATATTTATGCTGCCCAATTTAAATTAGCTCCTCCTTTGGAAAGTGTGGATTCTGGATTAAAAGCAGATGCAAAAACTGGGTGGGTGTCAGAGACACGGTTTGAATGCAGTACACACAGCCTCCATGACAGCTCCACAGTAAATTCCAGACAGTGAACTGAAATAGATCCAGATTGAATTAAATGGGCAACCAGGTGGCCTTGTGATCAGAGAAACCGTACTGATGGAAGATTTCAGGGCGATCGATCACTGGTGGAATCTGTACACAGCTTAGGTGTTATCTGAGACACTGCTGGTCTAATTTTGACAAAGCATAAAGGGAGGACCGGTTTCGGCGCTACGTTCCTGTGTTACAGAGCTCTGTACGAGAGAAAAATGCAGCTCTTACATAATAACAGAATCCACTGCTCCAAAAATGTTGAATGAATGAAAGATCGGTGCTAAAATCTTTTCTATAGAGTCTGTAATTTCACACTTTTTCTCTTTATCAAGTTTATTCCTCACCTCTGTGAAATTATTTTGTATATTTTAAATGATTGCTTTGGGGTTTTATTGCTAATAATATTTTACAATTTTGTTTCTAACGTCTGGCCACAATAAGCAGCTCTTTAAAACACAAAAGTATCAAATGCACCCAGCACTTAGGTGTCACAGATTTGTTTTTAAGTGTAATCTTTGATTGCGTTGTGAGTTTCACTGCCACTGTACTAGTGGAGAGACGAATCACAGATATGGAAGGAAAAAAGGAAGGAAGGAAAAACCCACACTTCACTGACAGAGTATTTTATTTTAACAGTTTTGGTGAACTGACCCGGACTGTATTTTTGCTCCCACCACTGAGTTGAAACTAAAGTCCTGAGTGAAATGTTGTGCAATCATATTCAAGAAGACCGCCCCTCCTGAATTCAACCTGCCTTCCTTAACCTCAGAGCTCGAGCTCAGCTCCGTTGTCCTGTAATGGAGTTATAGATTAGTGTTTTTATAGAGAGATCAATACCAGCCTGTAAACTGGTGGGGCTGTATGCATTATTGATCACTTCATAGAGCGGTTTGTGTGTGTGTGTTTACGTGTACGCGTGCGTGGGTCTGTGTGTTTTCACCCACTCTTACACTTTAGATAATAAAAAAAATGATTGTGGCTTAAATCAGCAGCGGACAGGTTTGTTCGATGGTGGAGATGCCAGATTATGATGGACTTCATGTTTGCCAGAAAAATAAGGCGGATTATAAATCACTTTACAGGTTGATTTATAGTTTGTCATCTGTGTTTATTCAGCAGCAGTTCATCAAATTCTGAAAGCAGAGTAATAATCCAAAGAAGTGAGACATAAGGAATCTGCTTCAGATGAATTTGTAAGGTTTCACACTTTAAGATCTGTATGATGTCAGACACAAAGTTCAATACACATTGTTTTCTGAGGGGCAGCCAATCAGAAGAAAGTTGTGTTAAAGAAGCTAAAACAGCTTGTTCCAGGGAGCAGGAAAGGACCCAGATGCAAGACTTATAAACTTAAAAAATAACAAAACAAGTCATTTATTAAGGTCAGAAGCAAATAGTGTCAAAATTCAAACAGCTAAAGCCAAAAGCACACAGGACAATAAGCAAAAACACACAAGGAGGAAGTAAACAGAAAAAGAACATGATTAAATACACAAAAGAGGTAATTAGAAATTAGAGACACCTTGAAAACTAGACACATGTAAAACCAGTTAAGGTAAGAAGAAGCAAAGAAAGAAAAATGGCTACCAAAATAAGGGATTAACATGACAGGGATAAACTGACACTCAAGGAATTAAATATAATCTATGATCCTAACTACAAACAAAAACTACATTTCAAAGGTAGAAAAAACTAAGACTGGGAATATTATCATAAAGAAGTCAGCCAGTAAATATCTGCTACATAAAAAAACGTAAACAGAAGTCCAACACCATCAACACAAAGTCACGTGACGACTTGCCTGATCAGTAGTGGGCTAAGGACCTTTAGGACCACCTCCAGAGGGGACAGCCCTCCTAGCCTAGTGGGCTAGGCGTATCTTACCTAAGACTCTGCCAGTGCAGTTGCCTTTTTTCCGTCATTTAAGACTAACCTGGTTGACTGAGAATCTGCACAGACAATTAAGTCCCTTATTTTACCAGGCAGTCTTAATAAACTTGGATCTCACTTTCTAGACCTGCTTACAAAACCCCAGTGCATCAACACCTACAGAGAGATAATAGAAAGAAATGCATGAAACATTTGCAGAATTAAGAAGTCAAGTGCAAGAATGAATGTCGTTACATAAATATAACAATTTAGAATGTTTCAATAACAAAATGTAGCTGCTTAAATTTGTATACTGCAAACTAACTGAATAAAGTAACTGGTAATATATAAATGGACATCACGCAGTACTGCTTCCTTGTGATGCAGTAAATGATGAGTGGAGAAATAATCAGCTGTGCAAGACAAAATCAAGTCCAGACAAAAAAATATAGACTGTACAATAGTCTTACCTTCTTTATTATTGATTCATTTATTTATTACAAAAATGCAATTGATTTTTTAGTGTTCATGGTAGGTGCTGAAATTTAAATAACTTCTTGTGCATTTTTACTTTGCGGTGACACTGTCGTCAGGGACGCTAACTCAGTTCATCCAAGTCCTCCTCAGTTTCTTCCCTCACAGACCGCAAAACAGTGTTTACTAGAAGCAGATTGAAACCATAACTCTTGAGAGTATCATCTCCGTTGCAGTGGAAAGATTCACATTAAACACGAAACTCTCTATCTGTGTTTTTTCAGGACGACAAGGACGATGATGTGTGCGAGGAGGAGGAGCTGGGCAAATCATTTATCTCAGCCAACAGGAAGCGGCTGCTGTGGTGGGGATCACGCCAGGGCACAGACGAGAAAAACGTACGTCAGGGTTAAGACACACGCGGACACAAGCCACTCAAAGTATTGATTATTATCATTTTTTTTCCACGATGCCGTCCTTTTAAAACAAACCGGATAAAGGTTCAGAAACAGAGAAAAAATAATAATTTTTTTAACTTTGTAAGCGAGAAAAAAAACACTTGTTTCTTTTTAACGTTGTCAGAACTGATAACAAATGTTGTCGTGAAACACTTTGATTTAGTTTTACGATTCAACAATAACAGGCAGTCTTAATAAAGCAGAATGGAACAAATCAGTAATATTAAAGTTTCAAATAACAATAAAAACAACTCTATTAAACTCTAACGTCAAGCTGCAGCTGTTGATTGTTTCCTTAAACTTCCATTTGCTTCATCTTCATGATAATCGACTCATCCCTGGAAAGATTTCAGACCAAGACACTTTGCCTCTCTCGCACATGCACGCTTATTGTGACCTTGTTCCTACATCAAGGCCCGTACGCTGTCTCCACCGTTGACCTCCTGAGGTTTAAAAGCTTTCAGGGTGTGCAGACGCAGATGAGCGATGGTCTCGATTTACAGATTAGCAGCACTCGGCTTTGTTCTTGCTTATCAACCACTATAAAGAACACGGAGGCCTTTGACTTCAGCAACTCATCGATAACACACCTTGCCTTGTATGCTCTTTTTCTCCTCTTAGCTCCTCTCCACCCAGGATGGAATCAGTACAACAGAGGTGCGGGTTGTTCTGGATGTGTCTTAAATCTGTGCATTTTCACCCCTTTTAGTCTTGCTGCAAGAAAGGAAATCGCTGCAAAGTGCTTTTCACACTGCATCCTCATTGAACGGGGTTCCTTTAATTTTTACATCCTGATTGGTTCTGTTAATCGAGGGCTTAAGTAAACATTATATATACACGTGTTGCTAACCTGATCTACCTTTATCTTCTCAGTTGAAAAGCTGTGCAAGTATTTCTTAGCTGGAAAAGTTGGAAGAGGGAGTACCTGTACAGCTTTTACAATACAAAAATCACAGGAATTATATCTGATGAATATTGATGATATTTAAAGGTTTGGTTCTTATTTTTAGACGCTCTTGAACACCCATTGGTTAAACTTTAGATTGAGGGTACTATTGCCTCCACTTTGAACTGTCCTCCTGTTCATATCAACATTGAATAAACATCTCCTTTATTGACTTCCAGTATAAGTGTGAAAGAAAATCTTTAGCCCTTTGTGTAAAAATACCTGCTACTGGCCATTACAAGGCTTCAGAAGACAACGTTCAGACCAGTTTATCAGTGGGCCATACAATCAACAAATATTAGCTGTTTTCAAATCTTTCAGCATTTATAACAGTGGAACATGAATTAAATTTTGAAAGTCATAGCGCATTAACAATTATAAATAACAAATGTTTTATGTTGCGTGTTTTTTTTTGTTATATTAGTATCAGTATTGTTCTAAATGTGTTCAAGGTTGAAGACGTCTTAGTACAAAAATGACTTCTTTGTGTGCAACATTTGAGCAAGAGAAACATTGTTTGCAGGAGCACAGAAAAGTCATTTTGCACCAAACTCTCAACTTACAGCATTGTCAGTCTGCTGAGGCCTCACATTGTTTTAGGTAGTGATTTTTTTAGACATTGTTTCTGCACAGGAAACACTTACAGCTAGCATTATGAAGGGAAATTATTACACTAGTACATATGTGCATTTGGCTATTTTTTTAAAGAATTTACAGGCTTGTCTGTAGAAACCACAATTTTTCAGATAGAGGACTGATGTTTTGTTTCTAGCTTCTCATATACAGAGGACATAATAGCCTTTTAAGCTTAACAGTGGGCTCCTGAAATTTTTGCCTAATTCTATTTAAGAAGTTTTTCTTTCCCATGAAACCTTTTTCAGGCAGATCTGTGATTGTCGGATGGGAATTTCTTTGTTTGTTTGTTTTTTAATTTTTAATAAAATGGAGACCTACAGCCCACGTTGTATTTCAAAAACTACAAATGAGTAGAGATCAAACTAATGACATCACAATGTGAGAATGCTGTCACCTATCCACCACCAGCACACTTTCTAGTTTATCACAGCTCTATTTTCTCTCGATAACTACTTTAGTGCGGCAACAGCTTATTTACACAATGTATAGCTAACAAAAATTGAGTTAATAAAGTTTAACAAATAAAAATAAATGGATTTTAATGTATATCACATCAAATTTGACATTCTACAGATACAAATATAATATGGATGTTATTCAAATATTTTGATGAGGATAATCATCCATTAAAAAAATATGAAAGCCCTCGATCAAAGTAATTTTAATTTGATTTCATTTCATTACATTTTTTTTTTTAGAAAAGGGGTTGTATCGACTTCAAAAACCATGCAGTGTGAAAAGTAGAAATCGTGCCTCTATTGCCCAACAAAGCCAAAGTGTGGTAACTAAAGGCTAAAGTTTGCTGTGGAAAAAAACAGTGTCCAGTATCAAACAACATTAGTTACTCCTCTTTGCCTTTGTGAGGCATGCTAAACTGTTGTGTGAGCTCATAACAACAAAAAAAAAAGTTCCGCATCTACTGAAGTTTATTTGTTATTTATTTAAAAATGATCTGCAGGCTGTGCCCACTTCAAACGGGACCTCCTTTGAGTTTGCCGTGACTGAGAATGGACCAGTCTGTCGGGACTTGTACTCAACCCCTCAGTACAAAATGGACCAGCCCAGTGATGGCACAGGTGAGCTGTTTATTCATTCTATTATGAGCATTTCTAGTCTGCAGTGAATCTGTAAAATAGTGCTGCTACCACGTAAAACATTCAAAAATTGTCATTTTGATATTAATCATAAACACCTCTATTCAAAACCGCATTTTGTGTTTACTTGTTTTATTTAAATTTGTTTGATGATGTGAAACGTTTCAGTGTGACAAAGATATGAAAAGGAGAAATCAGGAAGGTGGTTGAATTCCACATTTGTTTGTAAGGGTTTAATTAAGTTTCATATGCTTAGTTACAAAGGCTAAATAAAATGTGTGTGAGTGTAACCGTAAATATTTTTTCTGATTAAATTAACTTTGTTAGGTTTTTTAAGTTAACTGTGTGAGGAATAAATAGTCATAATCATAAAGTGATTGGAAGTAATTAAGTACCTTTGGTGAAGTTTTTACCAAATATGGTATGTATGGTGTATTTCCACCATAACTTTTAAAATAGACTATACATGTTATGCACTGAATTAAAATGTGCACAGTTAACAGTACATAAAAGCAGCAAAGATGGCTTCAAGATAAAGTAAATTATCTTTCATATTAAGTGTTAAATACATCTGCTACTTCACCCTTCCCGCCTTCATTTTGGTTTTATGTTGCACTTATTTGCAGCTGAGTTCACTGAATTGTTTTAAAGGTTTCCTTCACTTATTTTAGTTAATATAGTAATTATGAGGTGAGATACTTAATAGCCTGTGAATGGCTGTTTAATGTACCGAGGAACTTGTAAAGTCTTAAAAAACTTTTCAAGGGACATGAAAAGGGAAGATAGGGTAAGTCTTATTTGTGTTTCTGCCGAGTTACTTTAATGTGTAAAATCTGAGGTGTTTAGAGCTTTTTGCAAACTAAGAATCGAAAGTCAGAATCTGTCTTCTGTGCTTTGTGAAGTTAAACTCTCACAGTTGCCCCCAACTTTATGGAAGTGCAATAATAGATCCACACAGTTCCACAGTACAAGTGTTGTAACGAGCTGTTTGTTTGTCCAAACAGAGAAGAAAGAAGAGTGTGTGTATGAAGTGTGTTTGCCCCCGGAGGAGTCATCTGTGAAGGAGACCGAGAGTGAAGAGAATATAATAAAGAAAAAAGGAGTCGGTGCGATGGTCAAAATCTTCCACTTCATCATGAAACAAAGCTACATCGGTGCTCTCATAGCCATGATGGTGAGTAATGTTGAAAGTCAGTGCTTAGTTTTGCTTAATAATATGAATGACATTTTAAAAATATACATCTTATTTAGTCTGTCGTTCCTACTTGTTCTCCAAAAATGCGCTTGCTGTTTATATGAACAGATTAATTTGACATTCAAGCTTTATATCCAGAGAGTAACAGGCCCAAACCCGCAAACCTGGTGGAAAAATGTCGTTTGCAAAACACTCCTGCCTGCTCGATCAACATCAATGCCCTTGAGCAAGGCACTGAACCTCTTTCTGCTCCAGTGGAACTACTGGCTGGCTAGCAGTAGGAAACTGTGGCTTTACTGGGCAGCGTCTATGGTTGCATGTGTGGCAGAATGCAACCAAAAATGAGCATCTGTTCTCAGTTTAGACATTCCTGGAGTAATTTTTTTTTCTTTTACAGAAATACAAGTAGCGCTACTGTTTGTTAAATTGTTGTCATGTCACGACAGCATATTTTGCTCCAAAATATCAGCATACTTGTCAGAGCTAATGGCGCCTTCACAGAACTGCAAGTTACCGTTCCCAAAGGCACTGACGCAACTCCAAACGTTGCTGGTAACAATCTGTCCTTTGCTCTGGAGTGCACAGCCTGATTTTACTAAAAGAGACCAGAAATATTGATTTGTCTAACCACACTGCAAGTTACCACTATGTGACAGTCCATCGCACCGAGC